CCATGGTAACAACTATTTTTTTGTCGAAATATTCTAGAACCTGTAACTTCTACACTTTTTTACCCGATTATCATGAAATTTATATTTGTATTAAAATTCATATTAAAATTTATATTAAAATTTAAATTTAAAAATTTAAAAATAAAAATTTAAATTTAATATTTGTATTTAAATTCATATTTAAATTTATGATTGTCATCAAGACATGTTANAGCAGTCAGCAAGGCAGTCAGCAAAGCATGCAGGCAGGCAGGCAGGCAGGCAGGGCAGCAATGCGAGCTAGCCGCGCAGTAACGGATTTACGTGAAAGCCCATGTCACGATAAATCAATAAATAATAGATCAATAATCTCACGGGAGGCCTAGCTTTCACTCCTGGCCCTGCTGCGCTCTTTATATCAAGCCGGTAAGTGACTGCTGTATCCTGCTTGCCTGCCTGCCTGCCTGCCTGCCTGCCTGCCTGCATCCCTGCCTGCCTGCCTGCCGGTCTGTCTGCTTGCCTGCCTGCCTGCCTGCCTGCCTACCTGCCTGCCTGCCTGCCTGCCTGCCTGCCTGCATCCCTGCCTGCCCGCCTGNGGGTATGTTGCTGACAGATGATTGCATTGTCGCCGGGTCCCGCACACGAGGTGATTTTTATCGACAGTACTGTCGATAAAAATTGCCTCGTGTGCGCCCGGCTTAAGGTCCAAGACCTTATATTATAAGTATATTACAAGTATATTATAATTATATTATATATAATTATATTACACATATAAATATGAGTGTGGGGTGTATGTATGTATGCAATATATATATATATAATGATGTACATACATGAGTGTCGAAATGGTGGTAAAGTGTNATGTATGTATGCAATATATATATATATTATTGATGTACATAATGAGTGTCGAAATTGGTGGTAAAGTGTACCCTTATACTTTGCTGCACAGGCTATTACGTGAAGTTTTTTTCATATGTTATTTCTATTTTTTTCTCATGTTGTTATATATGCAAAAAAAAAAAAGTGAGTTTTGCTTGTACTGTTATCAGTCAAAATTTTTACTTTTAAGCTGCAAAACTATTGCACTTTTCAATACGTATTATTATCTATACAAATGTGAGTGTGTAGCGAAATATGTTAATGTTGTAAATGTGGGATATAATTAATGTTGTGGGAACCGGTGTCGATAATGATGTGCTAGAAAGAGGACCTTTACTTGTACAAATTTTTGATAGAGTTTTTTTTGTGTAATTTTTTGTTTTTCTTAGTGTTGTTCTGGCATTGCCTTTTTTATTCTGTATTCTCAGGAACTTGATTTCACGGATAAACATGTTTCAGGTAATCAGTTTACCTGTAAGAATATGCTGAAGTTTTTTCTCGTTTATATTTTTTCGTTCATGTATTTGTGTTGTTTTGTATTGTATCAATCTCAGTAAAGCTTCTATTTTTTTTTTTTTCTTGTTAACTTTGTCCACATTTTCTTATTGACTTAATGCACCTTTATTGTAAATTATAATATTGCTGAAGTTTTTTTGTTGTTGTTTTTATGGTATTATTTTTCTTATGCTTGGTTTTTCATTCGATGGTTTCGTGACTGTGTAATCAATGTATCACTGAAGAATTTTGTCGGGTCGGGGTATTAGATTGTGGCTACTAGTTTATGTATGTATGTACAAATGTTATTGTGGCACCATCAATAGGAAATAAGTGGTGTTCGCGCACGAGTTTTTGTGGTATTTCTCTGATAATTTGTTGTCTGAACATTTATTGTTATTCTATGCTGTTATCTCTATTAGTAATGTATGCTTTCAGGTAATATCGAAGTGTTATTAAGTTCAAATGCAAATCAAAGAAGACCCAACCAATAGAAGAATGTTTCAGCTTTATATATTCATAGCCGACCAGGCTGTGCCGACGGATTGTCTATACAGCCTGACCACCCTTCCATACAAAAAACCTCATCACTGCTGCACTGATTAGATGATAACTCTTGTATATATCAAATAAAACGGATTCATTACCACTTTGACTTGCCTGTTTTAATAGAATTTAACGTTACTCACAGTTGTCCTGCTTTCTAAACTAGAATGTATCTTTAATTTCACGGTAATATATTGCTAATTCTCACAGTTCATATCAACTTTCAAATTAGCTTTACGCCGCGCATGTTTAGAATGGCACGGGATAACCGAAAAACGGAATAGACTCGCTAGAAATCTACAGTAATATGTGCGATGGTCCTTTTCTCAAGGGCATATTACCACAAAGCAAGTGAAACGATGTTCACAAATGTCTGGGCAATTT